CCCATTTAAATATACATGTACCTTCATTTAAAAGTGTCTTGCTCCAGAAAATGCATCTTTTTTTCCAAGGCTTGAATGCAGACCACTCTGCAATGACCCATGTTTAATTAAGAATGTACAGCTGTACATACAGATGCGCACGTATAAATGTCAGCTGACATTTTTTTGCTGTACGTCATTTTATTTAGAAACCAGCAAACATACTTGTCATGGGTGAGGGACCAGAGAAAGGAAGAGTAAAAATTGGTTAGTTGTTGAAATGGATATCTTTTAGTTCAAATGTTAGATAATTTTTATAGTTTACATGCAGTTCATTTGCATGTGCTAATGTACATGTACATGTACATGTAGTCAGGAAGAATTTAAACATTTGAGTGGTACTTGGAAGTTTGGTCTACATTGGAGTTACAATAACATTTCAAGTATCAAATTTGTCTTCTTTAAGGTACAGTATTTCAGTTTGTTCGTCACATTTTCGAACAATCAATCATTGAAAGTTGTCAAAATTATTCTTACCATAATGATTTGATTTAGACACCCCCTTTCTAATAAGGTCTTCCCATTGTGTGCCGTTGTTAATAAGTGCCCCTATTCCAATATTTTGTAAGTGCCCCCTTCCAATAAGCAACCCCATAACAAAATTAACTTTCAAGACATTGACAAAGAATAATTCTACTGATTAGAAGAAAAAATTATGAAGTCGGCTTTCTCATTTAAATATTATGACTATCAGAGCCTCTATTTTTACAGTTCTAATGAGTCAACTATTTAAAAGGAAACAAGATGCATGTCTGTGTGAACTCAGGATTTTTTAGAACAACACGACACTTTCATGTCATTACCGCCTCATTCCTTATGAACTAGCAAAGTTGTGACCTGGACGCGCGAGTTGACTTTGTAAAAATTTGGCATGCCGGGGTTTTTTTTCGTTTTGTTTTGTTTTGTTTTGTTTTGTTTTGTTTTGTTTGTTTGTTTGTTTTTCAACCCATTGATGCCTGCATAAAATTTCATGCGGCCCACCCCTAATTCCCTGGCTTTTGTTTTGAAATATTTCAGAGCAAGCATAAGCATGAAAATAAACCATATGCACAGTATTCAAGACACCGCTTATTTAAAGTTGAATAAATGAAGGGCCAAAATATTAAAAAAAAATCAACAAAAAGAACTCAACTTGATGTGTAAAGCTGATAAGAAAATAAGAAATTATAAGCTTATTTTTTCTCTGCTGCACGACAAAAAATGAGAATATTGAATACGCAAAAATGAGTTAACTATTGACTTTGGAGGACAAAACAAAACCGAATACAACAGAATTTCCATTAAAAACATGAAATCAGATTATTTCTTCCCTGCGCGACGAAATAATACAGTGCAGTGAAAGAAAGATGAAAGTCGTAAGTCAACAAGCCAATTATTTTGAGATAAATCGTATGTCAACACAGGTGGCACGATTAATATGTGACATTATGCTGTTGGCGATTGCGTTACAATTTTAGCTGTTTATAAGACAATGCATGAGAATGTTTTGAAAATTGTGTAGAATGCTTTGAAAATACAGGTAGAAAGGGCCACCTGTGATGTTAACTGTGTTAAATTAGTACCCTCTTAGTTCTTTTCTCAGGAATTCTTTAGTAGCTGAGTAAAACTCCAAAAAATATATTTGAATGAAACAAATAAACTATTTAACAATCAAACTGCGGAGGTCACCGAACTAATTAAATACACAGAAATCCAACGTGTAAAAATACTGTTGTGTTTGTGTCGTTGTGTTTTCGTGACAGTTAAAGGAAAGAAAATTCTTCACCATAAAGGTTTGAGCATTCTGTACACCTTGATTTTCCATTCTTGGGCCACCTAAACAGTTACTTGTGTTTTCCTTTCCATTTTAAGTCCTGAAGAAGTATCATTCTCATCTCCAGAGGCCGTGCTCCTTTTGGTCAGCAGCATAATAACATTGCGCGTGCGTGTTAAGGACTTGACTGTGATTTGCGACTGAACAACAACAACAAAAAAAACGAAACCAGAATTTCAACTCGGGCGTTTCCTTTGGAAAGCCCAAATTAGCACGATGGGTGCTAATTTGAATTATTATGATAATTAAAATTGTTGTTGATTGGCAGCAAGTACAATACTATACACGTAAAATGCTTATTGTTTAGCGCAATTCTGATAAAGAAGGAAATAGCTGTACTTGATGGTTTTTGATGTAGTGTTGTTTGATTTCTGCAGCTGACATGGGATTTGCCAGGCTGTTCAATGCTCCATTAAAGCCTCTTGCTGATCTGGATCCAGTTGTGGTGACATTTTGGTACAGAGCACCTGAGTTACTTCTTGGTGCTAGACATTATACTAAAGCCATAGGTACCAGTACTGTTAATATTCTTATTTTATTTTTGCACAATGTACTTGTAACTGTACATGCGTATAAATTATATGCAACTGAGTCATATCATTAAAGCTGCATGCCTGTGAGTACAGTACATGTGTAATTGTCTTTAACTTGCATGTTGTGTATGTTATCATAAATGTTATTGTAGTGTACAAATTAAGTTGTACTAACACTGAAGTGAAGTAACAGTTATAATAGAAGCATAACGTAGATGTATACAGACTTGTATTTATTTTACATGCTTAGAGGGACACTGTTGATTCTCCTTAATGAGATGCTTGTACACTCTATTATGTACATGTACATCACAGAGGTTTCATCAAAGGCTGGGCACTGGGCAAATTGACCAGCTGCAAGGACGATTTTAACTGCCTGGTTTGACCATTTAGCGGAAAGTTTTTCTTGTAAGGAAGTTCAGTTTAAATAGTTTTGCCTGCCTGTGAAAACTAGTTGCCATCCTGCTGAAAACAGTAATGAAAGGTTCCCCTGAAAATGTCATCAGTTCTTATCCTTATTATACATTCTTTACTTTTATTCACAGATATATGGGCTATAGGCTGTATTTTTGCAGAGCTATTAACATGTGAACCCATATTTCATTGTCGTCAAGAGGATATCAAAACTAGCAATCCTTATCACCATGAACAGCTTGATAGGATATTCAACGTAATGGGATTTCCACAAGGTGAGGTTCACTTACTGCAGTGACATCTGACATATCATAACCTTCTTGTTAGACTGATGTGATGGCAGGTGAACAAGTAGTAAGTACAAGTAACAAGTAAGTACCTGCCAGTTGGGAAATATATAGATCTATTAAATTAATAAATAAATATAATAAATTAATAGATATGAGGTGTTAAGAACCCCTGTTACAAGTTCACATATAAATTTAATGCATGTTTCAAATGATACAATTTGTACAGTGGGTACATGTGTGTATGTGATACATGTATCTAGTATTAAATAGTATTGAGCTGGATTAAAATTGTCTTGCTCTGGGGCAGCCTTTTTTTTTTACTTTATCCATGTTTACATGTACAGTGGTACATGGCTTTGGCTTCAGAACTTATTAATACTGTACAAACTTTCATTTTCATAAAGGACATGCTGAGTAAAGCATACAAAACAGTTGCAAACATGCACAATTTCATTTACCAGAAATAACAAACTGAATTGCTTTTTGGTCCTTTTCACCAATGTGTGGTCCTTTTCACCAGTTGGGATTCTTAATAAATTGTGTTCTATTTGTAATATTTGTTTGTTTATTTACAGTGTCCTCAATTAGCACAAGAGTGCTAAATACATTTGACCCTTAAATAAAGTTATTATTATTAATGTTGCGAATAGTAGCATAAAGACTGACATCCCAGTAATCATCACAGTTATGTACACAACTACACACATCACTTCAGTGATCATTGAATCAATGTCTTTACATCTTCCTCCACAGTTCAATTTAAGATCTTTCTACATATATTTGCTTGCAGCTTACAAAATGTACGTGCATGTGCTTGTACCATGAATGTTAAGTAGAAGTCTTATTGATTAGGTATTTAGTAATCTTGTTCTTTCTCTCATCGATTTTAATGAAACTAGTCATAATTCATTCAGTAATACAGCATACATGTGTATACCTGTATGTAGTTTTGCGTAGCATTGCAACTTTACTTTCCTCCCTTGACTTGTTTGTTTGTTTTCAGAGAAAGACTGGGAGGATATCAAGAAGATGCCAGAACATGGCACCCTTCAGAAAGACTTCAGAAAAGCAAAGTATGGACTATTTTTATGCTAGTTTCAATAGATCAAATTCTTCCGGAGGCTTAAGAGACTAAAACAAAAGAAATTGTTAATTTGTGCCTCAACTTCAAAGTAATTTCCTTTGTTTTAGTCCCCTAAGGCTCAGAGCCACATTAGAATTTTATTTGTTAATTATACTCATATATTGTAATACTCATATATATGTGCATCTACACCAATACATTATATTACTGTACATTGAACTCACCATCTCTTTTCTGATTGGTCAAAAGCAAACTGTGAATTTTCAAAATCAGCGCCTGTGACGTCATCTCTGCAGATTATACAATAATCATGTCAAGGACACTCAAGGTCACGGCTAATCATGTCAAGTTCGCGCGCTTTGTGTTGCTTGCCGTCAGTGAAGAAGCAAAAACATGACTTCCATTTTTTTCGTTCAATGTACAATAACACAATTATTAGATTCGGTTTTTGTGATATCCAGAATAATCAAGGTCTCGGAAAGGGTTATCAGCCTCAGCCTTCAGCTTCGGCTTATAACCCCTACCTCGACCTTGATTATTCTGGGTATCACAAAAACCTTAGCCAATAATTGTTTATAATTACATTTTTCCTCAAAGTACAGAAATACTGTGTATATTAATGTAGTACATGAAATGTACAGACTACAACAAAACTGGGTGTTGTCCAGTCCAACACTGAGATGTGACTTTGTATTACATATCACGTACGTGTATTATACAAAGTTTTTTTTGGTTTTGATGTTATTTGCCACACAAAAGAAAATTACAATTTAACTTATCAGAAAATTAAATTACTTAAAGTGGTTAGGAAAACTCATGGAAGCCAGAAAACCTGTGTGTTTTAAGGACTCTTGAGTTATATACAGTAACATATGCAGTGAAGTTAGTTTCAAGGCGCAAAGATGACAGTTGAAAATAAGCTAAACATTACACCTGTAAAGTACGAAATTGTCAAGTATCGTTTATAGTTGTTTAAAATGTTAGCCTTAAAGCAAACGAAATTGAGTATGAGTGTATGATTTATTGTCAAGCAAAAAAAAAAAAAATGGTCCATTGAAATAGACAGATTGCATGTAGTTCGACAACAGGGTAGATAGAAGACATTGAAAATGTGTGCAGTCCATGTGCATTGCCTAGCAAACAGATTGTTTAGTATATTTTGTGTATTTGTTTACTTTTATTTACAGCTATGTAAATGCTAGTTTGTGGAAATACATGGAGAAACACAAAGTCAAACAGGACAGTAGAGCATTCCAACTGGTAAGAATTTAAATTCAGTTAGACTTCTATAGACGTGTACCCTGTATATAAGTTTCCAGCAGCCATGAGTGTTTCTGCTGTGGAGACGAAGGCACCCATGTAACGGGGCTTAATTCCCACTATATTTAATCATAATTTCTTATTATATGGCTTGTGTTTGTCGCCAATCTAACGCGCGCACTGATTGGCTAACTTCATATAGGGCATTATTCTCCCGTAAATGCCCACGGGCAGATTACAGTCCGGCAAAGACAGAGCAAAAAGCCATAAATTATAATAAGTAACTTATTAACCTCGAACGGTCTTTAGGGAAAATCTGAAAGTTCGACCATGTCATATTGACCTCGCTATCGCTATTTTCCCGCAACGACCTCACTCTCGGTTAATAAGTAGTTAATATTACCTCTGAGCTGTGTTTCACAAAGGACAAGTCATGAACGCTAGCTGAAAAAATAGATAGACCCTGAAAGATAGATATGAGTGGCCCTTTCAGAGGTAATAGCACCTGATATGAACAGAGACCCTGATAAAAGAATGCAGCTTTGACAAAAATGTGTCAGCTACAAGCACTGGAGGTGTACACAATGTGTCTTGTATATGTTTGTTAATTTTAAGCTCTCCAAGTTACTGGTGATGGACCCAAACAAAAGGATAACATCGGATCAGGCTTTGCAAGATCCTTACTTTAAAGAAGATCCTTTACCAACACCTGAGTAAGTAACATAGGCTTCTACTGTGAGCTTAGCATTGTTAGCAACTGCATTGTTGCAATCAAACTGTGCTGTAATGTTCCCTCGTGTGACAATACTACATGTAGATGAAATAAAAATGCAAATTAAAATAAACCAGAACCCCTGGATAAATGTATTTTTATACATTTATGTAATCTGCACAACCCTGTTAGAATGGGCATGCTTGAAATAGTATTTCCATAACTCGACAGAAGCAAAGAGCAAGCGAGAGTTCTTGACGTAATGATGAAGATAGCAAACATACTTAAAATTTTGATTAAGAAAGAAAAAAGATTGTCCTTTCTTTGTATTGCTATGTTTTCTAAATGAAAGAGATTTTTTAAAAAATAACATTTTCGTTTTTCTTCTAGGAATACACTTGCGTATTTTGAACGAGCTTGTACAGCTCTTAGACGTGACGTGTCTAAATAAAGTATTGTATTTTGTATTGTGTATTCCATCGAGATATAAAACCACTCACCAACGTTTTAGAGAACTCGAAAAACTGTGAAACCACTCGGCTATCGACTCGTGTTCCCGGCCCACAGCATTTCTCGTTCTCCCAAACTTCCACTCGTGTTTCTATAACTCTGCAGAAAATGTTTGCAATTTCTTAAGGGAACTCATTCATTTCCGACATACATGTACATGTAACGTGCCTGTGCTGTTCTGCTTCAACAGTTTTTTTTAGTGTAAGTGTTTTATTTTAGCTTTTATTTTTGCCCAATAGAATGAGTTTGTTTCAGATTTCAATAACAGAACAAAGTATTATTTGTAATACTTATGCATGCATGCTGTATTCTTGTCTAGCTCTGATGCAGCCTTTTGTTGCTTTTAGTGCCTTTGCCGGGATGACAATACCTTATCCTAAAAGAGAATTTCTCAATGATGATGACAGTGACTCGAAGTCCAGTGCTGCAAAGGTAATGGAATGTTACTGGGTGAACCTACATGTAAGCATTACGCATATACCCCATTTACATTATATTGACCCGACATCGGACTGGCAAAATAATGGCCTTAATTCAGCATTTGACCAAGTCTTGCAAAGTGTTTGCAAAAGGTATGTTAATTAGACTGATTCAGCATTGGTCAAATTTAGGACCAATGTGCCGATTCAAATGGAAATCGGCCAACTCTGCGAATGTGCAATCTGGTGCCAGAATGTAGGGTATGCATGCTTATTTGTTAGTTGCATGTGATCTTACACGACTATTATCAGGTAATGCATGTGTGACAAGTCTTATCACTGCACGGCACACACTGCGCGCAAGAAGAAACATTAACCCTGAAGATATCGCCGGATTGGCCCACGCTAACACTTAGCACACACTTGTCGCTAGGTAGTGCCGTAGCATCCACTAACAAAGCACATTCCCTTTCCTGCTGAGAAACAGGCCATTGTTAGACGAGGTACACAGTGTTTCCATTTCACAGTGCCTTTATCTCGCTGAACCAGGCCAACATTTTAACACTTCCAGACTAACCCGGGCAAGCAAGAGAACTCGGACAATAACGGGCAGCCGAGTGCTAAGAGAGTGCGCGTCGTATCTGCGCACACGACTGAACAGTTTCAGGTAACGTATCACGTGTTTGTCTGTGAGGGACAGTTCTCTCCACTCTCTGGGGGCACCACAAAATTTGGTCCCTGGGTCAAATCGACGCACGTGATTGGCGGCCTAGGTCTTAACAGCTAACGGCTAACACTCACTTTGTACTGGTTAATAGCATTAGCAGCTGATTAATTTGAAATGATGCGCCCACGAGTTCTTATTAGGCTACGTACCTCTTACCTTAGTTAAAAATAAGCGCTGATGGATTTGAAGTACGCGGGTAGGGAGGTTGTTACGGAGAGGCGCTTTTTCTCCTATGCTCCTCTCGCCCCACTTCCTCAGGCCTCAAAAAAATAGTGGTTGAAAACACTGGGCGCCTGCATTGGTGTCGAGGACTTCGTAGAACACGAGGTTGCGTGCCAACACTGTATGATAATTTCCAAGCACTGCTTAAAGAGCAAACGTATCATGGCATGTTTTCGTCTGACAATGCTACTGTAAAAAAAATACTTCTCCAAGTTAAACGCTAATGGAGCAATAACGTTTCAAAGCAGGTTAAAACGTTAATTGATGACGCCTACTGTGTTAAAATAATACAGTCTATTAGCTTGCGTGCAACACGTGCTTGTTTTATCCTCCGACATCTTCACTGTTAAAGGAACTACGTCACGGGTGGCGTATGTCGAAAAGTTTAGCCTACATGTTTCAAGCTAATAATCCGTGTTAATCTTCTCCATCCCTAACCATCCTTGTTCCTTTATGGTTTATTTTATGTCTTTGGTGTTTTTCTATCTTAGTAAACAGATATTTTCAGGTTTTTTTCAATCCAAAGGTATTTTTGTACCTGACCAAAATAACTCAAAATATCGTGGCATAGCTCCTTTAAAATTAAACCTTGAGATTTATTTTGAACACAGCTGGAAATGCTGTTGTTTCTATTTCTTGTCAACAGGCCCGACGGTGTTAAAGATGTCAATATACAATTTCTCCTTGCCTTACTCCATAGACCCGTTATGGTACTAGTTGAGAAAATATCGTCATACAACAAAGAAATTCCCTGGTGTGATCAGTTGTTCTATCCTTATGGCATGCCGTATTGAGCTTGTGCGAACTTTTCAGGCTCATTCTTGTCACTTCTTGCTCACAGCAATTCATTGTTAATGCAGGAAGCGGGGTTATGCCAGCGATAGTAAGGGCTCCTGCACATGAAGGGACCCGTTGCAGAGACATGTCCCAGGGACAGAGTAAAAACGTAGACACACAAGGAAACGTAGCAGGGACCTTTGGCTGGAACAAAATCAGAGGGTGCACATACGATAAAATGTATTGATCAGTGACCTATTGCAGGACATGATCCTTTAGTGTGAACTGTACTTTCACTGAGCTCACGCAACACAGGCTGTAGCTGAAGCATGGCCCTGCTTAATTTCCTTGTGTGTCGATATGATATGTTGTGATTTTCTCCCTGTCTCAGCGGCTTGTCTCGTCTAGCTTACTGACCATAAACTGTCTTGCATTGATTGTCTCAAGTGGGGAAAAAAATAGAAACTCATATATTTGCCTTTGTTACGTTCATAATGATGTAAGCCTTCTCATTTCCTTATTCTTTCATTATTTGTTTTTTAGCAAAAGCAGCAGTCGTTCGCATTCCAAGGACAGAACAATCAACAGGCCCAGGCGTCCAACAGCCAGCAGTCTGCTCATGTTGGACGGTTCTTACAACAGCAGCAGTTTTCTACAAATAACACTCAGGGCCAGTCCACCCCTACCAACCGACAATTCTGAATTCTGATAATTGTATGCTGCCTGGCCTCTGTGCTGGGTTAGTCCTTTTGTTTTGGATTATACCACTTTATTCCGAGCCGTGGAATTTTAAGGTACGCCACTCTAAAGGCGGGAAAGGCGTTATACGGGTATATCTAGTGTTGTCCCGCCGGCTAAATGGAAGACATAAAATGGCACTGGTTTCACAGCTTCCAGTGTTTTCCCGCCATAGAGTGACACGTGCTTCACAGCCTCCAGTGTTTTTCTCTACCATTCCCGTACAAGAAGGAGTCGTTTATAAAGCAGTGATAAAGTCACTGATTTTTTTTTTTCCAGTGCAGCATTTTGTTTTGAATTCATATAATGTAAAATATAACACGAGTGGCTGTACTTTTCCTCCACTAACACGCACTAGCCTTCAGGCTAATGTGTTTCCAAAGTT